TAGCTGCATACCACACGGTGCACCGACAAGGAGTAATACCAATTAAAGAGAGCTATCCCATACAGAAAGATCACTGATATTATCAATGCAATTGAAGGACATTTTGATAAAAAAGTTCAAGAAAAAAGTATTTTCAGAACCGAAATATCCAACCATCGACAATCATCTCATTAAAAGCTTTCCATTTAGTAATCTCTTTTCAAATACACTATTAAAATACACAATTTTGTTGTTTAATGCAATCTGATTTTAAAATCGAATTATCGTACGGATAAAACTTTTCATTTATATTTAACGTTGAATTTTCATTTATTGGCCGGATGAGTTTAAAACTTTTAAATCTCCGATATATTTTATTTTATGGGTTAAATAGCAATTTTCATTTAAAATGCCGCAGAACCACCGATAGGAAGTCGATTTAGATGGAAATTTAAATGCAATTTCTTGTCCAGACAGTTTATCCACGTATGCTAATTGAGCACAAAAATTAATGCGATTTTACGTTTGTTCAATTTTTCGAAAAGGTTACCTCGTGATTGTGTATACAATTAATATTGATCTGTATATCCAATTAAACGTTCCCTTTTTCATGCCACCATAATAATTTTTGGTGGTTTAGGAATTTATAGGTATAGCAGGTTCTCCCTTAGTTTGCGCGCACGTCATCGGTGTATTATAAAGTCAGCGCTAAGTTTGTTTACATAGCACCATGATCATGCAATCAATGGAAGAGAATACGTATATAGGCAGCTATACAGATAGTCCTGCATTGTGGGTAGGATACCCATTACATCTACGATTTCTGTTGATCTATATAAACAAATGTTTCGGTAGTTGTTTGTAACAGGTTGCGATCTTTTACTATAGTCCAGTACGTGGGGGTTTTTTTGAATGCAAAAAGTGGGGTAGTAGCGATTTTTTAGTACGTTGTTAAGCTTGGCGCCCTAAAGAAAAATCCAAGTTTTCGATCTCGAGACGCATGCGCTCGAACCGCCATCTTGGATTTTAGGTACAAAAATAGGTTTTTTAATAATAACTCAAAAACGGTGGCTTTCGCGACAAAAGATGTTTTATACAATGTTAAAGAGGACAAAATGCCCTACATTTTGTAAAATTTTTTTGTACACATTCGTTGGTTTGGAAGAAGATTGTCACAACTCAAAAAGTGCTAATTTTCAGGAGACAGGTTTAAAAATTTGACCATTATATATTTTTTTATTATACCGGAAGAATAAAAGCTATGATAAAACAAATTGGTCATTTTTAAGAAACCTTTATGTACTTTGATTGGAACCCAAAAAATATGTTTTAAAAACACCTTTAAGCTTAGTTTTCACCCTTAATTAGTAGTTGTGACAGTTTTCCTGAAAAGTTTTTAATAGTTTTCTAATTTATATTTTTTTAAATTAAAAAAAACAATTAATTTGAATATAAAAATAACTTTTAATTCTTAAATTAAATATAATAAACAAATACAATACCAATACCGAATTAATTATTGCTTGCACCCAACTGTTATTCATTTAGAGGCTCTAAAACAAGAACGATCTAGTCAAACCTACACCTTTAACTAAAAATAAATTAATACAAACCTTTTGAAGTAATATTTGCCGTTGGAGAATCTCTAAAAATGTCGTAATTTGCAGGAACCAGGTTCTCTGAATCATTGCATAAGTAGTTGTTATTGTCTATAATTGAGGTGCTTTTACTGAGCACCTCTGCAAAAAAAGAATAGTGTTTTAAAAAAATCTTGAGACACAATAGAAAAAGTGATTTTTAATTTTTATTTGAAAGTAAAGTTAACTTATTTAAAAAAATATAATTTTTAATCACAAATAATAGTAATACCTTCATTTATGGGGTCTTTTCTGACATGGTCAACTCTAATGATTTGAGGCCAGTTTAACATTTTCCAAACTTCTGCACTTTTAACATTAATTACTTGCTTAGCTTTTCCAACTTTTAATACAAATTCTCTTCTTTGCTGGCTCATTATTGGCTGTAGAAAAATAATAATTATAAAAATATACCTAAGTAACAAACCCGAGAACAAACTAATACATTTTCTACAAAAAACAGTCGTAACAATTTTAATAAAATCTGTCCGTTACTATTAAAGAAAACTGGCACAATTCAAAATAAACCGCCAATGTTTTTATAAGTTTTGAACTATTTTTAAAGAAAATTGGCACATCTTGAAAAAGAACACAAAAAGAAAAAAAATCTTATAAAATTAACAAATTATTTTGTGGAAAACTGTTCTAACTCAAAATGTGACAATATTGTCTAAAATATTAATTAAATGTAAATAAACCATTATGAAAAAAACCGACTTGTTCAAATTTGCCTATATTCCACAAAATATTAAATAATAAATACGTACCTTTTTTAAATGTGACACTTTTCGCGAAAATTTACGAAGCGATGACATGTATGTTACGAAGTTGCACTATTTAAAAAAAAATGCGGAAATTTCATTTTGATTTTATTTTATTATTTTTATTATATACCATTATATTTTTACATAATTACAAAAAAACTAAAAGGCACTTGAATATTATGATTTAACGGTATTATACTTTTCGTAAACAGAGCGTTACAAAAATTAATTTCTATTACAACTATAACAGATTGGCAAATAAACTAAAAGTTAAAATAAGAGAAACAAAAAATTAATCCTTCAAACTATATGCGGAAAATCTGGCTAAACACGACCACTCCACCTGGAAATCCACAAAGAACATAAATGAAACACAAGTATCTGTACCACCACTACGCGATGAAATGGGAAATTGGCCGAAAACTAATTTGGAAAAAGCAGAAAACCTAGCAAAAGTATTCCAGTCACACTCTAATCAACAAGATGATGATATTGAAGTCTTCTTACAAGCTCCTTTCGAGTTATCACTACCCATAACAGCCTGCAGAACAACATGACACCTGGATATGACTTAGTAACAGCCGAGGCAACATCGATTCAACGACTGTATCGCTCAACGAGCTCAACTCATTTGTAAATAAAAATTTAAAAGGTGGTCCAAATAAACGAATATTTTTTAGAACACAACACAGCCACCAAAGATAATACAACTTTTGGCGCAGAATATCACTTACGGAAGTTGTGCTTCTGTAATTGTTCGTTATGAAATTAACGGATTTTTTATCGGCTAATGTAGCAAAAGCAATAAAATAATTAAAACTGTAGCAAACATCCAATAACCTATATTTTGTGAAAATACATTGATCAGTCTAACATAGACACGTAATTCCAACATGAATTGTGGTATAAAATGATTTTATTTTATAGCATATGCTAAAATGGCATTTTAATAGGTGTGAATGAGTCGGCTAAGTCGCCTTTTAACCGTGAGGGTAGATAAAGTGATCACTTTAACCTCTAGGATATATAAAGTGAAACAGATGATTGTGCATTCTAATGACATCTGTCATTCTTATTTTAAATTGGATGCGAGGTACGATATAACATGACGTTCAGAACATAAGACAATGCCGTTTCTATGAAAAGGACCACGGCGGCAGAACCTAAGCTTGCTATTTTTGACGTCTCTAGATTAAATTCAGAATTGTCAGTAGCTTTGCAATGATTTATATGGCTTCTGGCATAAAATAAAGTTTTGTATTATACAGGACGATAAAGGGAAACTAACCATCTTGTGAAACATAATTCACTCGGTGGTTAAAATATCCCTTATCGTCTTATATAATAAATAACTACTTTCTACAACTATCAAAAAACCTGTCATTTTCTGACGAATTTCGAAGCACGAAATACCAGATTTTTAAACGGTTATTAACGTGTTTATTTTTCCATTATAAAAGATCTATCTAGGGCGAAAGAATTATTAATTTATTACCACCAATGACGTTATTATTTGTTCATCAATATTTTCTTTATATCAATTGTCACTGATTATGGGTTACCAAGGCGACAATTTAACGACTGATACCCTACTGCTTTATGATATACCTTTATTTTATCAACATGAATAATAAATCGGGTATTATGGGTGGTTAGCTGCCTTTATATGTAGTTCCCTTACAGTCCATATAAAGCGTATTTAGCTTGGTTGCTTCAAATCAAATCGTTAACCCTTTGAGTTTCTACCAATAACCAGAATTTACTTTGTCAAACAGTAATTGGCATTAATTCAAGGGGTGTGAAATTATATGAACTGTATAGAAAATGAAACCGTAACTTATTTAAATATAGATTCTTCGGTAAGACAAAGTCTTGGATTCGTACTATTCCGATCCAACATCCAAAGATTCCAAGATTTAAAAATCGTAAGAGGTAGAACCGAATGCAGTGTAGGACTATGACAATTTTTACATACTTCCAGATTTCTAACACACTCACGAGCTGTATGGATGTGAGCACGTTGCTTCAAACGGTACGGAAACTTTAGGAATCGTTATAGTCATTATTATCGAACATGCAATCATTCGTTAATTTTTTTATATTCCGTGTCAAAATGTGCAAAATATTTTTAAGTTGCATGTAAGAGAGAGCGCTTTCGTGAATGAAAGTTTGCTTTAAGCCAGATGAAATAATTCTGGCCTAGTTACATAATATTCAGGTTCGATGGTGTTTTATACTGTATAATTAATGAGGAAAACGTCAAAACAGCGATAGCATCACTACCCTACGATAATTAATAATGTATTTATTTTGCATCCATTTTCATTAATGATAAATCGCCACTACCGAATCAAATATTTCGTTACGGATAGAATTATTGTTTAACGAGCTGATTACAATCTCCAAATTCTTTTTGACAACGAAACTAATCGATGTTATTACTAATAATTGCTAATTCGGTGTACTGTAGGAGTATTTATTTATGCATTATGACAAAATTATGTACATAAATCGTTGTCGAGTTAGAAAACGTACACTTGGGAAATCTATTTCTCGAGGAACTAATTTTGTTAAAGCACATTTTAAAAGTGGTCTTCATATAATGCTATTTACGTTGCAGGAAAACCCGAACCTACCATAAGATGGTGGCGAGGTGAGAAACTCATCGATTCTGTCGATACAAGAAGTGGATTTGTGAGCGTTCGTTCCAATCAGCTCGTTATTAAAAGTCTTAAAAGGTCTGATCAGCATGCAGTATTTATTTGTCAAGCATCCAATAACAACTTTAGCCAACCTGTGTCTGCTTCAATCACCCTGGAAATTTATTGTAAGTACATTTTGTAATTTAAAAGTTTTCTAGTTCATGATGTTGTGGAAAATCACCTTACTTCTTTTTATAAAGTTTTGTGGCACTTAAAAACTTTCAGCCATCCTTATATTGGTGTAAGCTCTATGTTGAAATAAAAATGCAAGATAATTACCTTATTTAAATTTCAAGTTTTATGACGTCTTTGACAGGATCTATAATGAAATCTTACGTGCCAGATAATAAACTACAAATTAAGTTTGCATTTTATTATTACCGCTTGGCTTGAAATGAAATTAACCTCACAGTCATAATTGTTATTACCCGTTTTCGCCTTCTTGCAAATTAACCCATAGTGTAAGGTAGGTCGACTGTAATTTTCTCAACATCGCCTGCCCATAGCCATTTAGGGAAAGTGTAATTAACGCCAGTATAACCTATATTCTGAAGAATAACTTTAATTTAGTTATTTAGTAACGATTTTGAACAAAAGCTTAATTCTCTACCATTTATGTTGCTCCCAAATCACTTTCGATCAACAAAATAGAACTTCCATTACCGATTTCGCACGAAATCCAAAATTGGATTACACTTATACAATAACAGCAACAAAAACTAAGAATCTTACGAACGGAATTTATCACATACTGACGAAATGGTACATTTTCGATACAAAACAAAACCAGCGCATAATAAAGACCCCTGTAGCCACGTAAAAGAAATTTTTGATACTAAACGTCGACCGCGGTTATGCATTAGCATAACTACGCCGTATAGTTAGTAGTATCGCGGTAACAAACCACTGAACTATTTACTTCATGCATTTCAGAACCAATTTGTGATGACATACCTCGCTTAATCTTTGCGGTTTGTGTTCTCTATACATTGCATATCACGTTCGTTGATCTTAAAAGTGCCAAACTGGTAGTGATTCCTATGTGTCTTGGTTTTGATGATTAAGTCAACTGTTTTTTTAAACTGCCAGAGAAATGTAAATATGGTATATATAGCGGTGAGCGGTGACCAACAACTTCTTATACTCGACTCTAAGACACTCTGCTCTTACAATGGCAACAATCATGAGTACTTTCAAGATACTTTTGTATATGTTATAAATCTAGAAGCTTTTTCATTTCATAAACAAGCAATTTTGGTACCTACTTCAGTTCATCTTATCAAAGGCGTGCATGATCGGTGCACGTCTCGTGGAAGGAGCTGATGTATGATGATGAAGTAAAATAAAATCATATTAATGTTATACTCGAATACATGTCTAATTCAGTCGGCTGTTTATTTGTAATTCCATAATTGCCATGGAAATGTCACTTGACGTTTGCTTATAAAAGTCATCGTCTTTGTGAATAAAATAAAATGGCTTCGGTTGAGGAAGATAATACATTCAGTGGCTTGTTGCAAAAGCAGAAGAAAAGTTGGTAGGTGCCAAATCCAAATGCAAAAACCTATTATAAAGCATATGAAAAGTTGTCTTCTATCCTTTGGTACATTCATTCAAAACTTCAAACAATGCTGCAATTAAAAAATGAAAAATATTTGGCAGCATGCCCTAAATTAGTAAATTACACGCGTTTGTGAAAGCTTCAAACAAAGGATAGGTACAAATCAAAGAAACTTATACAAAGCGACCTAAGAAGATTTTTTATTTCAGTCCCAGACGACAGTTTCACAAGTTATATTTGAAGTAACATTACTTAGCAACCTTTAATGCACTTGTGTTTTAAATGCCCGAGTTCGCACACATTGCGGGTTTCAAATCGGAGATTGTGATTCAGGTATAATAAAAAAAAATATGTTTTGATATATTTCAAAATAAATCAACGCCAGTGCATTCTCGAAAATTACATTATTCGGTTTTTTGGTTGTAACTTCGGTATTTGTAGACCTACAAGAAACTTCGAAAGAGATCATTAATTAGCAGAAAATTCTATATTTTATTTAAGCGACTTTGTATCTCTTACGGTTTATGAGATCCTCATAGTAAAAAATCACCCTGTATAAATTATTAGAATGCTCTTTCGTTCTTTGATAGATAGTAATAATCTTGGAATCTCAGACAAGTGCGCTTTGTATATGCGCCATTGTCGGTAGAAATATCCACGTTAGCATTCCTTACTATACAGGGTGTTTTTTTTAAGATGGGCCATACGACAATGTAAAGGCGTTGAGTCATTTAAAATGGGCCATAGGGAAATTTACATTGCGCCAATTGTTCTCAAATCTGGGCCTTGCGGTTAGTTATTTCACTGACAGTTCTCAATCTGATCCTTCAAACAATTTGTACAAGAGTGGGCACAGTAGCTGAGTGGTATGCCAGCTATTCAGTGTCGAGTATCGGATATTGTTTGGTTGCCGGTGGAAAACAATTCGAGCACCGATTGTAATCTTATCGCAGTTGACTGGATGTTAAGATTATTTACACATTTATTTAAGTTTAATTTATTTCAATCGATAGCTTGTTGCGTGGTATTTGTCCTCTGGCCCTGAGTGCCATTCTTTCTTACAGCTTTATTGATTGATTTTGTCGGATAAATTTATGTCATCTGTAAATAATTAGCTTTGTGATTCGGTTATTTACCTACAATCTCTCGGAAGAAGTGTCGAGTTTGTATGGGCCCCTATGGAATCCAATAAAGCAAACTGCGCAACGGAAGCGGATCATATAGTACCACCAATCCTGGAAGATCTGAAATCCACATCAAGAACAATTGGACACCAAATTTGGCAAAACGAATGGGATTCAACCGACAGGTCGCTAAAAATGGAACCACCGTCCGACGGTGGCAATACCCAGTCACCTCTAGGAGAGACCAAGTATAAACATCTGCCGATGAAGAATAGGACACACGAACATCACTTACTCCTATCTCCTAACGGGACAAAGACGACCGCAATTCGAAAACTGCAACACAAGACTAACATTGAACCATATTCTTACCGAGTGCCCATTGTTCGTTCAACCAAGGCAGAATTTTCTTGTGGGAGACAATATGAGGGATATGATGACAAAGGAAATATTTAACGTCCTAGAGTTCTTTAAGCGATCGGGATTAAAGGACCTACTTTGAACACCAAATAATAAGAGGTGATGGCTAATGACCTTGGTTGTCGATGCCTAAAATTAAAAAAAAAATTATCGTTGTATTTAATCTAGCCCAAATTACGACCCAGGATATAAGCTCATGATAAATTTTATATTCGTGCCCAGGATTGTGTTAAGCGTGGGGAGGCGGCCAAGGAAAATAAAATATTTAAGTCTTCAAGATTTTTTTCGTAGTATCAGAAGCCGGACGTGCTTCAGGAAATTTTATTATCAACATTTTCATGTAAAAGGTTTTGTTAGTATGTACATGAGTTTAATTGCGCTCGCTGGACAAGTGTTTATCTAGGTGGTTTAGTGACAGTTTGCCATTGCACATAGCAATATAAACAACATTTCAAAATTATTTGATTATTGTATTACATAATAAACATGTTAAGGTTTCGATCAACTTCTATCCGACGCGTATCTGGTCAATTGTCCTTAAAAAAATAAGACTGATCATTTCCAACTTTTAAACAATTCTACGTAAATGAGGAATTTTGATAACCACTAATTCGGCGGAAGTGACTAATGTATGTACGAGTTTAAATGAGGGGATTTATTTTTGAAAGGCGTAACAGGTGTCTTACTTGTAACCGCAAAATTAAATATTATAATGCTAATAAAGCAGTTCAACTCGCACACAAAAATTAGGGTCTTACTTTGTCAAAATACATTGTCCTCAACGTGAGTGGATCGTAAACACCGGAACAAATTAAACTTTTTAATTAACTGTCCTTTTCTGATTTACTTCCCATTAGAAGATATCACATTATTATTAATTTCGTAAATGTTTTATTCAAAACTTACCTAAAATTAAAGATTTCATTCGGCGGACCTCACAATCAAAGTAAGTATCTGTACACTCGGGGAAAAAGTAGGGATGCGTATAAAATAAATTCTATTAATGACCAGTGAGTAAGTTAAATTCAATTTAAAGTTCAAACATGAAACAAATTCATAATGATTTGGAAAGTATTATGAGATAAATTTCAGTCTATAATGCAGGTGTAACTATTTTAATTAAAAGTAAAAAGTTTTGAAAATATGTCTACAACTATGGAATGTCGTATTTTCATTTATGCCTATTTCTTTCTCGCGTGCCTATTATTTTCTCAATTAACTATGCTACTATTCTCCATTTCTCCACTTTCCAGCATTGTTTCGATTATGTTATCCTTTTCTATTACTTCTCCTACTCTAATGGCGACGCGGTATCTCTCGGCTTCCCACCTTGGCCACTTTAACACTCCGTGTCCTGCATCATCCCCGGCACCACAGTCTGTGCAGGCATCACTCTCCCTCTTTCTTATTCTTTTCAGGTACACCCCATTTTCCCCATGCCCTGTTAGAAATTGCGTAACAAAATGGTAGGTTTCCCCATGCTTCCTTCCTACCCAACTTTTCAGATTCTTTATCACCTCCTTCGCCCACGACTCTCGTGCCTGCCACTCTTCTTCCCATGCCTCGAGTATGTCTGCTTTACTCTTCTCTTCATGCCTTGCCCACATCTTTAGCTCACGTGCAAATGCTCAACACGCGTCTTAACTAAGTCTAAATTGATCGTGCCTCGTTCTATCAATAACCTGAAATGAGTGGGACCTACCTCCAAGACCCAATTCTCCCTCTGAGGTATGGCCAGCATCTACACCCGTTAGTATTACTCTAAGTTTTAGAGCTCCCACCTCTTTAATCGTCTAAAGGTCAACTCGACCTTCCTCGCTAATTCGAGCTATGTGGCGACGATCGTTTGATTGGCCTCATAGGCCATATAAGCGAGGGCTTGGATCTTAGGGTCTAGCATTGCTAGATTTTTGAGTGTCATTCGTGAGCCTTCACTATCTTTCCTGGCCCTTTTGTTGCTATTCGACCCCGTGTTTTGGTCTCGAATATCTACAACATTACTTACGTTTGGCGTTAGTGT